GCGGTGCCCTGGGGGCTGCGATCTGCGCACCTGTCGCCACTTTCGTGGGCTCCTGGGAGGCCCAGCGGAGGTACGTCCCACGCGGATCACCTCGAGACCTCGCGGTGCCCTGGGGGCTGCGATCTGCGCAATTGTCGCCACTTTCGTGGGCTCCTGGGAGGCCCAGCGGAGGTGGGTCCCACGCGGATCACCTCGGGACCTCGCGGTGCCTTGGGGGCTGCGATCTGCGCAACTGTTGCCACTTTCGTGGGCTCCTGGGAGGCCCAGCGGAGGTGGGTCCCACCAGAACACCTCGGGACCTCGCGGTGCCCAGGGTGCTGCGATCTGCGCACCTGTCGCCACTTTCGTGGGCTCCTGGGAGGCCCAGCGGAGGTGGGTCCCACGCGGATCACCTCGAGACCTCGCGGTGCCCTGGGGGCTGCGATCTGCGCAATTGTCGCCACTTTCGTGGGCTTCTGGGACGCCCAGCGGAGGTACGTCCCACGCAGATCACCTCGGACCTCGCGGTGCCCGGGGGCTTGCGATCTGCGCAATTGTCGCCACTTTCGTGGGCTCCTGGGAGGCCCAGCGGAGGTGGGTCCCACGCGGATCACCTCGGGACCTCGCCGCCCCTTGGGGGGCTTGCGATCTGCGCAATTGTCGCCACTTTCGTGGGCTCCTGGGAGGCCCAGCGGAGGTGGGTCCCACGCGGATCACCTCGGGACCTCGCCGCCCCCTGGGAGGCTTGCGATCTGCGCGCTTGTCGCCACTTTCGTTGGCTCCTGGGAGGCCCAGCGGAGGTGGGCCCCACGCGGACCACCTCGGGACCTCGCCGCCCCTGGGGGGCTTGCGATTTTCGCAACTGTTGCCACTTTCGTGGGCTCCTGGGAGGCACAGCGGAGGTACGTCCCACGCGGATCACCTCGGGACCTCGCCGCCCCCTGGGGGGCTTGCGATTTTCGCACCTGTCGCCACTTTCGTGGGCTCCTGGGAGGCCCAGCGGAGGCACGTCCCACGTGGATCATTCGGAGGTACGTCATACGCGTTTCTTTCAACGTTCCTGTGTTTCCACTTTGTATAGTTGCCGTTCCTCTTCTTGCTGCGCTCTTCTGAAATCATTGTTGGGTGCTCTTCTTGCGCATTGCGGGTCCTTCATAATGCCAGTCAGCATTGAGTGGTCCTGAGTATAATCGCCACATGTATAGAAAAGGGTTGGGTACGTCACAGGGTAATACTTTTTTACGCATGTGTAGCCCGACCTTGGCTCTATTCTGCCTACAGACCGATGCATTTGATACTTTCTTATCGATTGATCTACATCTTTCCTTGGGCAAGGGCCTGTAGCTCAAACCATCATCCGAAAACTCACTTTTATCAGCAAAATCTTGAATAATGCAAATCGTTTTTTGTTACAGCTCTGGTATCATACCGATCTCAGGCGTCTAGATATTTTAGACTAGCGTTCCTGATCATTCCCTGTCGATTGATGTGCATCTCAGCTCCGTAGCTCGCCTACAGCTCGAATTGAGCAGGGAACAGAAACATAGCCTCATAACAACTTGCAGAGTGAGGATCGCTTTTCAGTCACAGCTCTGGTAGCAGACCGATCTCAGACGTCTGGATATTGTAGACTAGCGCTCCTGATCATTTTCTGTCGGAAGATGTGCATCTCAGCACCGTAGCTCGCCTACAGCTCTAGTTAAGTATAGAAAAGCCCATTGTTTCTCAACAAGTTGTGTGCTTATTGTGAAGGCCTTACGGCCGGTGCCGCCGACCCTGAAGGTTTTGGCCGTCGATGGCGACGGGATGTGTGATCATAGGAAGGAGCTAAATGACAACGTGACAGGGTAGGTGGAGGAACTGTGCGAGGAGGAGGAGGAGGGGGAGGAGGAGGAGGAGGAAGCGATGAAGGAGGAAGAGACGGAGGAGGAGGAAGGAGGAGGAGGAGGAGGAGAGAGGAGGAGGAGGAGGAGGAGGAGGAGGGAGGAGGAGGAGGAGGAGGAGGAGGAGGAGGAGGAGGTGGCATGCTGACCCGGGACCTCGTCGAGGACCCACCCCGGGACCTCCCCAGGATCTCCCCCGGGCTTTCTCTGGGACCCCCCCCGGTCGGGGAAGGGATCAAAGGGAAGGGGAAACGCTTCGAGTCAATTTACTTTGCGCAGGCAGGGGGAAGAGATGAAGGAGGAAGAGGGAGAGGGAGAGGAGGAGGAGGAGGAGGAGGAGGAGGAGGAGGAGGAGGAGGAGGAGGAGGAGAGGAGGGAGGAGGAGGAGGAGGAGGAGGAGGAGGAGGAGGAGAGGAGGAGGAGGAGGAGGAGGAGGAGGAGGAGGAGGAGGAGGAGGGAGGAGGAGGAGGAGGAGAGGAGGAGGAGGAGGAGGAGGAGGAGGAGGAGGAGGAGGAGGAGGAGGAGGAGGAGGAGGAGGAGGAGGAGGAGGAGGAGGAGGAGGAGGAGGAGGAGGAGGAGGAGGAGGAGGAGGAGGAGGAGGAGGAGGAGGAGGAGGAGGAGGAGGAGGAGGAGGAGGGAGGGGAGACGAACGAGAAGGAGACGGAGACGGTGGGAAAGGGAAGGAGGCACGGACGAGAAGAACAACAGGACCCCCCCGGGACCTCCCCAGGACCCTTCCCGGGTGTCCCCCGCGACCACCCCAAGGTAGCAAGAGACGCCCAGGAGGAGGAGGAGGAGGAGGAGGAGGAGGAGGAGGAGTAGGAGGAGGAGCAGGAGGAGGAGGAGGAGGAGGAGGAGGAGGAGGAGGAGGAGGAGGAGGAGGGGGAGACGAACGAGAAGGAGACGGAGAAGGTGGGAAAGGGAAGGAGGCACGGACGAGAATAATAACCCATTCCACATGCCGACAGGGTGTGGATTTTGGTCGCAGTTCTGGTAGCAGACTGATTTCAGCCGTCTCCATACTACATACTAAACTCCTGATCATTTCCTGTCGATTTGTGTGCATTTTAGCTCCCCTACGTAGCTCGTCTAGAACTCGATATAAATAGTGAAGACCAACATCACCTCTGAACAATTTACACAGTGCGAATCGTTTTTCGGTCGCAGCTCTCGTAGCAGACAGATGCCATGCGTCAAAATCTTTGACACTCGAATTCCTGATCATTTTCTCCCGATTGGTGCGCATTTCGCCTCTGATAGTGGCCTGTAGCTCGAGCTATCTCCCCAAAACCATGGAGGATCGAAGAGTGCGAATAGTTTTTCCGCAGCTCTCGTAGCAGAGATTCCAGGCATCTCGATACTTAAGACTAGAACTTCTGATCATTTCATGTCCAATGGTGTGCATTTTGCCTCTGCGAGTGGCCTGTAGCTCGAGCTATCTCCCAAACACCACCCGTATTATCAAACATCGTAAAGACTGCAAATCCCGCCCCGTTAATTTTTTTGTAGTAGTATCCACCTGATTGACCTGAGATCACGATGGCGAGCGGGAATAAGATCATAGAGCTGGGCAAAAAATACTAGATCTCAAACGAATGAGAACATGCTTTTCTACCGAGGTCTCTTCGTCAAAATTTCCGTCGATTTTTTTGAGCCAACTAGCCCGCTGGCGCTGTGGAGTACCTCTAGAGCTTAGCCGCTTCGCTCATGGGGAAGCTCCACGAGTCATTTTGCGATTTTGCTTGGCCTGACTGCGTGTCTTCGGCGTTTTCGAATGCGTTTTTTCTGCCTTGGGGCTACGGGGCCAGCGTTCCGACCCTAGGGGGCGTTAATTTGCCGCCTGCGCTAGTGCAGAGAAGATATTTTTCTAGCTTTTGATTGTTGGTTTGGAGGTGAGGCCCAGCCGGGGCCTATGCGCGGCAAGGAAGGCCGCGAGGCCTGGCCAGGCTCTGCTGATCATCGGTGGAATCGGTGGCTTCGATGGCCTCAGCAGCCTCGGTGTCCTTGGTGACCAGATCCAGGCACGGGGCCGCGTGCGCAGCGACCGCGCCTTTCGCGCGGCTTGCCCGCCCGCGACAGGTCCAGAGGTCCCAAGTTCAGTAAGGGGCGGAGATAGGGGAGGAGGAGGATGAGGAGGAGGAGGAGTAGGAGGCGGAGGAGAAGGAGGAGGAGGAGGAGGAGGAGGAGGAGGAGGAGAAGGAGGAGGAGGAGGAGGAGGAGGAGGAGATGACCTCCTCGATGACGACGATGGTGGCCGTCGCCTCCCGCGCCCCGCACCCCGCCGCACTGGCCTCCGCCCTCCGCCCCCGCCGACGTGACTCGACGCCCTCGCTCCTCCCCTGCTCCTTCGGCAGGCCGCCCCTGCTTGTTTTTTCCCGCGCTCTGACTGCCGTTGTCCTTTTTCTTCCCCCCCCTGCCGGGTAGCGCAGAACGTCTGGGACCGGCAGCGCGGCGCGCAACCAGGGGGGGGTCCAACGCCGATCCCAGAGATCTGCGCGGACCCCCGTCTGGCATGTGAACGGTGCAGGACTACCTTCCCTCTGCTGCTGCTGCTGGCCCGCCTCAGTTCCTTGTTTCCTCAGTGCGGAGGCGGAGGAGGAGGAGGAGGAGGAGGAGGAGGAGGAGGAGGAGGAGGAGGAGGAGGAGGAGGATGATGATGATGATGAGGAGGAGGAGGAGGAGGAGGAGGAGGAGGAGGTGTGCCTCTGTGCTTCTCCACGGGCCCCCCATGTACACTCGCACGCAGTGTGGGGCAGCTCCGTGCAGCTCTGCCAGCCGCCGAGAAAAGAAAAGAGAGAGAGAGAGAGAGAGAAAAAAGAGCACGAAGATGAGATGGAAGCGAGGATTGCGATGGCGAGGATGGTGACGAGATGGAAGGCGAGAGTGCTTTCTCTCTCTGGATGAATAGAATCTACTGATGCCGCTACTCCCCAGACCTCTCCTGCGGTGCGTCTTGATCAGAATTCCGAGGCGAACCCAGCCGTGGCGACGATGGCCTCGCAGGATGCCCAAGGAGGCGAAAACGAGGGCAGGGTCGCGGTACCAGTATGTTTTCCTCCTCCTCCTCCTCCTCCTCTGAGACGAAGGAGGTCGATTGTCCTCTCTCACTTCTTCCCTGCCAGCGCACCTTTCGCGGAGGTTCTTTTCCGGGAACCTCGGCATGCTGGCCTCTGCCGGGCTCTCGCTGCAGATCGTGTGCTTCTCTTTGCTCTTCGAGGCGCCCCTCTGCGCTCGCACGCCGGCACTCCGCGCGCGCGCGCGCGCGCACCATCGCAGTTCGGCCAGCGGGGGTTCTGTAGCCGCCGATCGCGTGAGGGTTTCTCCCTCATTCTTTTTCGTGCTCTCTGTTCTCTTTCCTCCTCCTCCTCCTCCTCCTTCCCCTGCTCCTCCTCCTCCGTCTACTGCCTCCTCCTCCTCTTTCCCTCCCTCCCTGCCTCCCTCACCCTCCTCGTCCTTCGTCCTTCGTTCTTTGTCCTTTCTTTGTTCCTCCCTCCTGCTCTGTCGTGCTGTTTTTCCCTCCCCGTCATCCTCGTGTTCCTCTTCCTCTTTGTCTTTCCCTTCTCCCTCCCCATCATCATCGTATCACGTTCATCATCTCCCTCTTCCACCCCTCGTCGTGACCTTTTCTTTTTTTCAGTATCGTTTTCGTAATCATTCTCTGGTTTTCATCATCGTCTTCCTCTTCCTCTTCCTCCACTTCACCTCAGACGGGGCATATTGGGGGAGTGGAGAGGACAGGCGGAATGGGACGAACAGGGGGGGAAGGGACGGCGTTGACAGGGGGGGAGAAATGGGGATGTGACTGGATGTGGGAGGGAAATGGAGAAGGGAGAGTATGGGACAGGAGGCGAGAGGAGGGACAGAAATCGGTATTCGAAGGGATAGGGTGGGGAGGGGGGAATACAGGTATCCGGTTGAACGAGGGAAGCTCACACGGTCTCGCTTCCGTATCTAGGCCGAGGCTCAGCTGGAGGAGGAGACGAAGGACCAGGAGGATGAGGAGAAGCAGGATGAGGAAGGCAAACATGACCCAGGAATCGAAAGGAGTAGGCAGAGGATTAGGCGGAGGAAGGGTATGACGAGTGAGTGATGCTCTGGCATGTCCCATCGGGGCGCTTCCCCTTGTAAACACGTTCTGGGCGTGCGCGCGGGCTGTCTCTTTCTGTCTCTCTTCCGCTGTCCCGCGAGAGAGGGAGGGAAAGAGAGAGAGAGAGAGAGAGAGAGAGAGAGAGAGAGAAAAAAAGAGAGAAAGAGAGAAAGGAGGACGAGCGAGAGGAGGAGGAGGAGGAGGAGGAGGAGGATGAGGAGGAGGAGGAGGAGGATTCTGTTGGATTCTGCTGGTCGAACGATCACGATACCCCATGGAATCGCGCCGCGGGACGTCCTGGCCGTATCGGGCCGCCCCCGAGCCGAGCCAGAACGCCGTGCCCTCTGAGGGCTTGCCTCAAAGGGGCTTCTCTCACAAAATCTTCCGCGAGCTGATCTCGGCACTGTAGTTTAGACTGGCTCGTCGGATCCCCGCGGCAACAGAGCCTGCGGCCACTGCCTTGGTTCTCGCACGACCCGATCCCCGCACAGTAGCTGAGATCCGTCCCGGCCCCACGATCCCCGAAGTGTTCCCGCATGAGTTTATCTCAGCCCTTCGGCGTAGAACACGTCTGACGATATTGGGCTCCAGCTTCGCCCCCCGCTTCTCGCAAGAGGCGTTGGACTGGCTCCCGATGTACTGCAACCCTGCCTCGCACGATTGCTCCCCAGCCTTCCGCACACGAGCTGATCCCAGCACTGTATTTGGTGATGTGCGCCCCTGTATTTTCGTGAACGACTGTTTCTAGCGGAGTTAGTTAGATGCCGTCGGGCTCTATCATCGCCTCCCGCTTCTCGCAGCCGTTTTCTCGCAGCGCCAGGGTCTGCGGGGTGCATTCCCCTCATCCACGGCCGCTGCGCGTCCCCCTTCTCGCACGGGCTGCTCCCAGCGTTGTAGCTGATCGTGGCCCACCCGCGCGTTTCGCTCAGCACCAGCGTCCGCTGCCACTGCGCTCGCCCTTTCTCGCACGGACTGCTCCCAGCGTTGTAGCTGATCGTGGTCCACCCGCGCATTCCGCTCAGCACCAGCGTCCACTGCCACTGCGCTCGCCCTTTCTCGCACGGACTGTTCCCAGCGTTGTAGCTGATCGTGGCCCACCCGCGCGTTTCTCTCAGCACCAGCGTCCGCTGCCACTGAGCTCGCCCTTTCCCGCACGGACTGCTCCCAACGTTGTAGCGGTTCGCCCACCCGCACGTTTTGCTCAGTGCCAGCGTCCACTGCCACTGCTCGCTCCCTTTTTCGCACGGTTTGCCCCCAGCATTATAGCTGATCGTGGCCCCCACGCACGTTTCTCTCAGCCTGCCTCCAGCATCTCGCGTTCCAGCCAGAGCCTATTGCCACTGCTCGCCCTTCTCGCACGCGCTGGCTTCAACACTGTAGCTTAGGACGTCGGGCTCTAGCTTCGTCCCCGTGTCTCGGAGTCTAGCCGGCGCCTGCTGCCACTTCCCGTTGTACTCGCACGCTCTTTCGGCGTTGTAGCTGAGCACGTCCGTCTGTTTCTCTACTCTCACCCGCTCACGGAGCCAGGCCAGAGTCTGCTGCCGATGCTCGCTCTTCTCGCTCACGCTGACTTCAGCAGTGTAGCTGATGAAGGCGTCGGGCCCCTGAGGAGGAGGAGGAGGAGGAGGAGGAGGAGGAGGAGGAGGAGTCGAATGTCGGAGGCGGAGGAGGCGGATGAGGTAGGCGTCGAAATGAGTAGCAGGGAGATGAGGGGAACCGGAAGGAAAAAGGATGATGAGGAAGGATGAGCAAGAGGAGGGATGAAGCGGATGGAGGAGGAGGAGGCGGAGGAGGCGGAGGAGGAGAAGGTTGAAGAGATGAGGGGAAGGACGAGGAAACTGAGAGGGAGAGGCGAGACGCGAGGTGCTCTGCCGCTCCATGACCGAGTGGGAGAACCACAAGCACCAGTGCTGCCCCCAGTGCCCAGCTTGGCAGGGATGTCCAGAGGCTTCCGTTCAAAAACAAGTCACCTATATAATCCTACATTTTTGGAGGTCCGCGTGGATTTCTTAGATCAGCGCTGGATCCCCCTTGCGGCGCATCCAGGCGATCCGCGCGCCATGCGAGGGGGGCATCCAGCACCGATTGAAGAAACCCGCGCGGATTCCGAAAGGGAATGGTTATGCAGGTTTTTTTTTCCTTCTATCCTCCGCCTCCTTCTCCTCCCACTCCTCCTTCTGGCGTTTCCAAGGTCGAGGGAGGATTTTCGGCGGCTTTAGCTCTTCACCAGGGGTCTTCGGAGGCCTTCGGGGACCTCCGCGGGGACCTAATTTCGAATTCTTCTGGAGACCTTTGTCCTTTCCTCCTCCCCCTCTCCGGCGAGTTACTGCCTTTCCGCCTCCCTCTCCATTCTTGCCTTTTCCCCCCTCCTCCTCCTGTGACAGTGGCGATTGATGGCGGTGACGGTGATGTATCACCACGGTCTGCGGCGGCGAGGCTCCCAGCTCGTGCGTTTGAGCGAGCGTGCATGCGCGAGCCGCTTGCCCTAACCCAAAGGGTTACAGGGCGCGTCAAGGTCTGGCACAGATCGAGGAGATAAAAACGCTGACCATGACCAAGATGTCGCGGGATCCTGTCGACGCTGATCTTGGTCATGGTCCATGGTAGCCGTCGCCGATTCGCGAGGATGATTTACGAATCGACGGTGTCCCAGATGGACGGTTACTAAGACCGACACCGACGTTTCCACACTCAGTCATGGTCACTTTTTTCTTCCCATTCAGCAGACTTCGGTATGGTGGCGTGCCAAGATCCTGGCCCCCGAGCGTGCCGAGTAAGCGCGTCTGTTCCGTGAGAATGAAGTCGGGCCATCGGTGCGCGGATCAGATCCCCAGCATTCTGGTTCTTCCTCCCGCTCCTTCTTCCCCTGCTCCTCCCTGGCCCTCCTCCCTCCTTCCTCCTCCGCCTCCTCATCCTCTTCCTCTTGATCCCCCTTCCTCCCCCTCTTCCCAGCGGATAGCGGTGCCATTCGCATTTCCCCTCCAGCGGGTAGCGGTCCCCATCCCTCGCGTCAGCTGGTAATGCTTAAACATTGTTGCTTCGGGCTGCGTCGCTGTGAGAATTGGTGCAGCAAAGGCAAGCGGTTGAGCATCCTTGTATCAGCCCCCCTCACTCCTTCCGCTCGTCTCGCTGCTTGTTCTCCGCCCCCGCCCATTTGCGAACCCTCCCCTTACGGTTCCAATCGACGCTGGTGTATCGGACACCCCCGCTTTGACTACATGCATCCCGAGAATTCTGAGCTTCAGCTGGTGTTCCAGAACTCCGACCTTCAGGGGTAGGGTTCACATGTGGTTGCCTACTTCGTCCGCCAGAATGCATACGCAGCCACTGCCTCGGAGTCGTGCCCTGGGATCTCGAGGACTTCACGATGAGTGGTGGATATGGATAGTTGCCCGCCCCTGAGGGCGGGAACGTATCCTTCTGCACCGTTCCCTCGGGGTCCAGAGCAGCATCCTAGCAGCAGTGGACATAGATGCTTCTTGGCGGCGCACTGCCTACTCATCCTCTCCCCCACTCATGCTGGTCGTCGTCGCTAGCGCCCTGAAAAAAGCCTGGCGACGGACCAAACCATATGCGCTTGTGAGTCATGCAGTTGTGCCCGTCGTCTACGGTGGAGCCACGACACGTGCGAGGGGTGTGCCGTACTGGGTGCGGGGGGCGCATACGAGAACCGCAACTGGGGCTTTCGGTGGAGCTCCCGCTGGGGCTACGAAACGTGTTATGGGCGTGCCGTGCCAACCATCAATCGGTGCGGGGGACGCGTGTGAGAACCGTAACTGGGGCCTTCGGTGGAGCTGCCACTGGGGCCACGAATCGTGCGAGGGGTGTGCCGTGCTGAGTACGGGGGACACATGCGAAAACCGCCAGTGGGGCCTTCACTCGAGCTCCTACTGGGGCCACGAACCGTGAGGGGTGCGCCAAACTGTGACTGGTGCGGGGGACAGCGGCATGGATGGGAGGAGGGATGGGGGCAGTGGGAGGGAAGGAAGGACGTAGACGCGGGGCGCTGTCTCTTCAGAACTTGGGCCCATCACCACAGGATGGCGGGGGTAAACATTATTTGAGTTCATGTTTGTATACGCATGGAGGCCCACGGTCCACATGACCCCCCCGCGTCTTCTGAGAAGGCCGCCCCCTCGCCCCAGACGGACAAACATACACGTCCGATCAGGCGCACAACAGCGTACAACTTCGTTCGTGATGATGGCACGATGTGAAACAATGAACAGGGCTCTGGCAGGCATGCAGGGGGCGAGGGAGGAAGAGAAACATGACACTGCAAGATAATCAGGAGTTTTCCGAAGCGAAACCTGGTCTGCAACGGTGAGAGTGACGGGACGAGCGAACCTCAGAACCCTGCCAGGTCTTTATCGGAATCTGGCCAGGCCCCTAGCGGGACCTCGTCATGGTCGTACCAGCATTAGACAGGAGCTTGGCAGGGCCCCGCCAGGAACGAACGAGTAATTTACCAGGGCCACCAGGACCGCCCTGCCAGGGCCCTGCCAGGATCATGACCCTGCCATGGCCCTAGCAGGACCCTGGCAGCACCCACTTGAACCCCACTGGGATCCTGTCAGGACCTTGTCGTCCAGGACCTCACCAGGACCTAGCAGGGCCTGACCATGGCCCCGCCATGACCTCGCCAGGAACCTACCATGGCTTCACCAGGGCCCCGCTGGGGCTCTGCTGGCACCTGGCCGCGACTCCGCAACGCTCTTGCCACGGCACACTATCAGGACCTCCACGTGCAGGTCGAGGTGTTCGGGGTACGAGCTTTCCCTTGATAGTCTGTTGTTTATTCACATGACGACGTTGTTACTGGCGCTGTTGCAGCTGGTGGTGGTACTGCTGGTGCTGATGACTATGCTTATGATGATGATGCTGCTGATGATGATGCTGATGCTAAGGATGATGCTGATGATGCTGCGGCAGATCACGATGATGATGCTGATGCTGATGTTGCTGCTGGTGCTGCTGCTGATGATGATACTGATGATGATGATGATGATGATGATGATGATGATGATGATGAGGATGCTAATGATGATGAGGAGGATGATGATGATGATGATGCTGAGGATGATGATACTGATACTGGTACTGATACTGATTCTGCTGATGCTGATGATGCTTATGCTTGTTCTTAGCCAGGTTCGTATTAGTATTCTTCTTAGTAGTAAGATGGTTTCAAAGCCTTCGTCTTAGTATTAGCATTCGTACTACTGTTCTTATATAATCGCTTCGCTCATTCCGCCGGCCCATATTGCCTCGCCGCTGTCGTTTGTCGGGGTGTTGTTGTCAATGCAGTGCCGTTGGGCGGCTGCCATTTCTCGGAGGCGGTGGGTGGTGGATCAGAGGCCTCATGGATGTTGGTTGAGCTCTCGTGGTTGGCCTCTCGGGGGCCTCTGGGAGGCAGTTTTGAGGCCTCTTGGGTGCCTCCTGGGGCTTCTTGGGGTGCCTCTTGGGAGCCCCTTGGGGCCTCTTGGGGGCCTCTTGGGGGCCTCTTGGCGCCTCCTGGGGGCCTCTTCGGGCTGAAGCCTAGACTGCTTGGTTCCTGGTCTCCTTCTTGGGCCCCTCTTGGGGCCGTTTTGGGGCCTTCTTGGGGCCATCTTGGGCTCTCTTGGGCCCATCTTGGGGGCGCGTTGGGCCGTCAGGGGACGATGTTGGAGGCTTCTGGGGCAGTTCTTGACGCTGTAAACCCCCAAACGTCGTACATGCGAACACTGTACGTTTTCCGAAGGGGGTGGGACGATTTTTGCTTGTTTGGGGCCCTCTTGGAGAGTCTCTTGGGGCTTTTTCGCGGCCTCTGGGGCCATCTGGAGACCATCTTGGAACGATCTTTCGGCGACTTGGGGCCTCCTGGGCCGTGTAGGGGCGTCCCGGCGCCTTCTTGGAGCGCTCCTGGAGCTCCCTGGGGAGTCGGCCGGGCATCGGCCGGGCATCGCCCGGGGTATTTTTCGTCCGCGGGTCCCCAGGGGCCGCCACGCGCGCGCGAACTAGAAATACTGTTAACCTGTTAGCAGAGATCTTAGCACGCCTCTGGCCCGTTGGGCCGGCGAAGTATTGTACAGGTGGAACGACAAAATGAGCTCTCTCGTTCTCTTCCACAGGCCGCGTCGCCACTCGGCCCACAGGCTCGCCCAGGCGCCTGCAACTCACAGGGCCAGCAAGTTCAGAAGACAACGAGATACCCGTTCGATATGGGATCAGCTCGATCGTCAGCGTTGTCGGCTCCGCATCGCGAGCCCGACGAGCTGTCAAGGTCCAGCTACTACGACAGCTATCTGTGGAAGCACTGCCTCCTGAACATGGTGAACCACTACACGGCGCTTCAGCACCGCCGCGGCTGTTGCTGATCCTGCTCTTGCTCCTTCTCCGTTGGGGCCCGCGCGAGTTCTCATCTCTCGCACCTCCGCACCGTGCACGGTGTTCTTAAATCCGATGCAGCAAGCGCGCCCCTAACTCTCTCTCTCTCTCGCCCTCAGGGGAGGCCGAGGGTACCCCAGAACAGACATACGCACTCTGAAGGAGGACTCCCCCAGGGCCCACCTCGGTATACCTTGGCGCGTGCCGTGACTGGAAGCGTCGCCCTCGCGGCGCCCCACCAAGGGGTGTGTCGCCCAAGGGGGGAGGGGGCGGCAAGTGGGCCCTTCCAGCCATCGCCCACGTCACGTCCGCGTTCCTCACGCGGAACAGTCATGCTCGCTGTGACCGCCGCTGGGGGGGGGCTAAGACACGTCAGGATGCATACTCTGGATTCAGTATCCGCGCTGGCATGCCCTGGGGCCAGATCTAACCGAATCCCGGCCGAATCCCGCTTCATTCCGCTAGATTCGAGTCAAGTTGTCTTGGGGAGAGAAAGAAAATGTGTAATTCCAGCGGCCGGCCAACTAGAACTGTGACTACACAGGACAGTGAAGAAGGAACAATGCTATGTGAGAGCCATTGCGACCCGTCGGTCGGTGTGACGGGCGGCTCGTGCACGGGCGGCTCGCGCTGGCCTTCCTCCTCCTCGTCCTCCTTCTCTGCTGCCTCCTGTGATGGCTCCAGGGGATGAATTGACCACGCAAGGCCGCGAGGATTGCCTGAGTGGAAAAAATCCGCTGCCTCCTGTGGCTGGTGTCGTCGGGAGCTGAGCCTGGCGCAAACGCCGCAGTGCCTGGGTGCCGCCGGAGCCTGGCTGGACGCATGGCGCCACCTGCGGGCGCCGCGGCGCTGCCGTCACCTGCCCTTGCCTCAAAGGGGCCTCGTCGCGACCGGGCGCCCAGCCCGCCAGCAGCGCCTGCTCTCCAGCCGTCAGGCGCAGCGCCAGCAGCCCCTCTGGCTGCGGCGCCGCGCCGCGCCGCGCCCTGGCTGGCTGGCCGCCCGCCAGCGCCTCCATTCCAGGCGCTCCGCGATCCATGTCGCCCGCGCTCTTTTCCGTCCGCGTCTGCTTCATTTCGGCATCGCCCAAGCATGCTTCAGCTGTATGTGTGCGTCGGTTCCTCTGGCTGTTCCGCTCATTGTTGCACATCGTCTTCGGTGCTCAAGGCCGTCCGCGCGCCATTCACCCGTCGACTCTTGACGGTCGGGCCTCCTCTTCCGTCCTCCGTGGCCGCCCTCTTCTTCTTATTCGGCTCGGGCGCCCCGCGCCTGGCGCGCCCCGTTGGTCTCGACCCATGCGCCTGCGTCCGCAGGCGCGGCCGATAAAGACGAAGTGCGTCGGCCCCTCGTGGGCGACGTGCACGCTCGAGAACCTCCTGCCATGTCTGCCGTTGTCTGGCCGTTTCGCTTGGGTAACGATGCGCTATCATGTCGTTGTGCTGCACTTTGTGGTCGGTTGCGTGCCTCCAAGGGGGACACAGCTTCTGCGTCCCGTCACCTTTGCTTCCCCTCGGCCCAGCTGCCAGTACCCCTCCTCCGTGCCTGGCGTAGCCCGGTTCGCTCGTCCTCATTTGTGTTGCCATGTCGTCCATGACCAGCCCCCCGCTGCCTTATTTCCTCCGCCTCGCGCCAGTGCCCCGTTCCTATCCAGGTTCGGCGACGCCGCTGCGACTGCTTTCCCCCCAATCCGCCGTTCGTAGTGCTTCGTTTGTCCTGTTTCACAGTTGCAATTCTTTGAGTCTTTACGCAGCGGAGCGTCCTATGGGTGAGCGCCCTGCGCTGCCTGTCTCCATCGTGTCGTCGCGCGCGCACGGCCGCGACGACAAAGAGTGTGTGAAGTGGTGCTACAAGATGGGCAGCGTATGCTGAATTACACCCCTTGACCCTCCTGGCTGGCCTTCTGGGTGCGCATCCAACACAGTCATCCCCGGGCCCCAGCCGTCTCGTGGTCGTTGGCCTCCGCCCTTTTCGTTGTCTTCCGCCTCTTCCCCTGCGCCTCCTCCTCCGCCCTTTTGCCGCCTTCTCCCGTAAATAGTTCCTCGCAAGGCTGCGTCGGGCTTTGGCCCTGCAAGGGCGCGGGAAAAAATCGTCTGTGCTGCCTGCCAGGAGCCCCTCCAGAGTGCCCTTGGGGCAGTGCCCCCCTCTGCGCTCTCCTCCTGGGTTGCTCTCGTCTGCGCCGCTGCCCTGGCAGCGATTCTCCGCGGCGCGCCGAGGAAGAAACTGAGAGGGGGCGGGGCTCTTCAGAAGGCGGGGGGGGCTTCTCAGAAGCCCTCGCGCCTTCTGAGAAACCGTCTGTGGCTTCGGCGAAGGCTTGGCCATCTGAGCCTTCCGAGACGGCCCGCCCCCTCTGTTTGGCCCCCCAGGCGCGCCGCCGAGATTCGCCCCCGCTTCCCCGGGAGGCCTTCTTCTACCTGGCCATCAAGCAGAAGGTGAAAGCTGGAAGCTGCCCCCCGACGGGGTGCCTCGACGCCTTGCAAAAGCAGATCATGAGCATCCAGAACGGGCTGCCGCCAATACCCTCGCAGAGGACGCCCACTGTTCACCTGCCACAGTTATGGCCAGGTCTACGCTGGGCGAAGGATCGGCGTGTATTCACCGGTCGTTGAAAGTGGATACTCTTGGATTCCCAGACTATTTCATGGATCGAGCAGTTTTTCCCTACTCTTCGTCTTCAGGTGGGGAGGTGGAAGCGGGCGGAAACCAGATCTGCTTTCAACGTCTTCCTACATTTAATGGCGCCAACATCGCGGAGTTCGGAAAACTCTGGGATGGGCCCATGGTGTCCTGTAGAATTTCGTTCCGGATTTCGAAGTGAATGTCGTGCGGTGTTTTTGGCCAGGAAGGAAGACTAGAAGCATTCCACGTGAATTTCACTTCGTTGTTCGCTCGCCGTTTTGGGGGTTTTGCATTGACAGAAATCCACGCGAACATCCGCTGAAGCACGTCTGCAAGGTCGGTGCAGTGATACTTCGTGTTTCTATTCGCCTCTTCCGACTGTTGGGTACCCTGGTCATGGCCAGGTCCACGCTGGGCTAAGGATCGGCGTGTAAGTCTTCATACTTCGCGTACCCCCACCAGTCCATTCAGAAACGCTGCCGATGAGCGTTGACGGGGAACAAGCGGAAGAGATCCTGAAGCGATGCCCAGGCGAGTTGCTTTCTTCATGAAGCATCTGCCCACAGAGGTACGAGGAGGAGGAGCAGGTGAAGGATGAGGAGGAGGACGAGGACGAGGAGGAGAAATAATAGGAAGGCGAGCACGGGAACGAGGAGGAGGAGGAGGAGGAGAAGGAGGAGGAGGAGGAGGAGGAGGAGGAGGAGGAGGAGGAGGAGGAGGAGTAGGAGAAGGAGGATGAGGAGGAGGAGGACGACGGGGTCCACCATGGGCTAAGGATCGGCGTGTAATTATGCTCCCTGTGGCCAAGAGAGAGAGAGAGAGAGAGAGAGAGAGAGAACGAGCTATACATATATACATATACAGAGAGAGAGAGAGAGAGAGAGAGACACACAGAGACAGAGAGAGAGAGGGATACTTTTATACATATATATATAGATAGAGAGAGAGGGGGAGACAGAGAGAGAGAGAGAGAGCGATATATAACAACAACAAAGTAAGAGAAAGAGAGAGAGAGAGAGAGCGACAGAAATATAGAGGTGTGTGTGTATATATATATATATATTGGTATGTGTGTGTGCGTGTGTGTGTGTGTGTGTGTGTGTGTGTGTGTGTGTGTGTGTGTGTGTGTGTGTGTGTGTGTGTGTGTGTGTGTGTGTGTGTTTAGGCACCAAACAAGCATGCTTTAACCGCTCCCGAGTGCAGGATTGGGCCTGCTGGGATCAGGGTGGATAGACGTGTGGCGTCCTCGCGGCCGTATTGATGCTCAGCCGCTGCCTGGGAAGAGGGGGAGCTGCAGTTGACAGGGGGGAGGAGTAGGATGCATGAGGTTGAGATGAGCGGGAGCAGGAGGAGGAGGAGGAGGAGGAGGAGGAGGAGGAGGAGGAGGAGGAGGAGGAGGAAAAGAAAGGTAGAGGAAACGGAGGATGAGAGGGGGATGAGGAGGATGATGATGAGGAGGAGGAGGAGGAGGAGGAGGAGGAGGAGGAGGAGGAGGAGGAGGCTGAGGGCGGTTGGGTAGGCACCTCGTCGCCTCGTGCGGCCAACGAGGTCAGGGTCCACCGCCACTGTTGACTCTCTTGGAGCGTGGTGTCGGAGGAGTAGGAGAAGGGGGGTGAGTGGTTCCCAGATTCCTTGGCGTCGTGAAAACGAATGACGGAAGATTTTGGTTATTTTCTTGGGGCCCTTGCTGGGCCCGAGGAGTGTCACAGCGGCTCGCGATGAAACGCCAGGTCCCGTGGAAGGGGTCGAGACCTTTGGGGTACATTCTGTGAAAATGATCACCACGTCGGGGGTTTGGGTTTGCCGCCCCGATGCGTGTCCTCGGGAGCTCCTGGGAAGGTCGCACTGAGGACCTCTGCGATGAGGAGGAGGAGGAGGGCTACGTGACACGGCGGCGTGAAAAGTCGTGACCGGACTTTGCGACTATTTCTAACCACCCTGCTTTTAGTTCTAGTCTTGTCTGGAGCGCTGTTGCTTCTCCTCCTTCCTCCCGCCTCCCTCCTGGTTCGTCCTCCCGTCTCTTGCCTCCCACCCTGCCTCCTACCTCGCCGTTCCTGGGGGCTGCGAAGTGCGCAATTGTCTTCACTTGGCTGGGCCCCTGAGAGATCTAGCGTAGTGCGGCCTTACTCAGACCTGACTGGACCTCGCCTTCCCGGGGGGGTTGCGAATTGCAGAACTTTCGCAAGTTTCGTAGGCCCCTGGGGGGGTCGAGCCTATCACGACCATGCCCAGATTTGGGTTAGACCTCGCCGTCCCTGGGAGTTGCGAACTTCCAAGCTGTCGCCACTTTCGTGGGCAGAGCGGCCCTATCCAGATCTGAATTCGACCTCGCCGTCCCTGGGGGCTGCGAACTGCGCAACCTTCGCCACTTTCGTGGGTTCCTGTGGTGTCCTGTATGGCAGCCATATCCAGACCTGAATTCGACCTCGCCGTCACAGGCGTCTGGGAAGTGCGAATCCGTCGCCACTTTCGTGGACTCCCGGGGTTCCAGCCTAGTCTGGCCATGTCCAGACCTGACTTTGACCTCGTCGTCCCTGGGGGCTGCGAACTTCGAAGCCGTCGTAACTTTCGTGGGTTCATGAAGGCTCCAGCGTAGTGCGGCAGTATTTTGACCTGAGGAGACCTTGCCGCCCCTGGCGGCTGCGACTTGCGCAAGTGTCGCCATTTTCGTGGGCTGGTGGGTACAGCGTAGTGCGGTCCTACCCAGATCAGAATTACACCTCGCCATTCCTGGGGGCTGCGAACTGTGAATCCGTCGCAATTTCCGTGGGCTCCTAGGGGGTCCAGCGGAGCGGTGTGAAACGCGCGGATCGGATGAGAACTCACCGTCCGTCCCTGGTGTCTGCGAACTGCGAATCTGTCGCCAATTTCGTGGGTTTTTGGGGGTCAGCGTAGGACGGTCATACTCAGATCATAATCAAATCTCGCCGTCATTGGGGGCTGCGAACTTCGGAACCGCGCCACTTTCCTGGGCTGCTGGGGGCTCCAACGGAGTGGAATCTTGCTGCGCGGGTCGCAGTTCGACCTCGCCTTCCCTGGGGGTTATGAACTGCGACACTGTCGCCACTTTCGTGGGCTCCTGGGTGGTTCAGCGGAGCGCGGCCCTCCCCAGATCTGAGTGTGACCTCGTCGTCCCTGGGGTCTGCGAACTGCTCGGCTGTCATCACTTTCGTGGGCTCCTTGGGGGGCAGCGGAGTGCGGTCCTACCCAGACCTCGCCGTCCCTGGGGGCTGCGAGCTGCGAAACCTTCGTGCCAGTTTCGTGGGCTCGTGGGTGTCTAGCTCAGTGCGATCGTACCCAGAGCAGGAGACCTTGCCGATCTGATTTTTTGCCATGCCATATTCCAAAAGTGCTGCCACAGTCCGACCAGTCCCGTGAGTCGTGCAAGCCGTAAGCCTTTCATTCAACTCAACGATAAGTCGCGTCCTATGCCATGCCATCATCCGTGGAAAAGTGCAGCTGGGTTGAGTCCGTCGCCAGGGTAGGTTTTCCGTTCGGGGCATTTTTCGATCCAGGGCAAAGTCGCCCGTCGTGTTTGTTCCCTTCGGTCCTGGATCTGAGGGTCCTGCGAGGGCTCTGCGAAGTCTCTGGAAGTCCCCCGAGGTCCCCAGGAGATTCCTGACAGGCCCTTCAAATGGCCAGAACTCAGGGGAGCAATATTTGATGATACTGATGTGTTCCGATTCAAGGTTTTTCTATTCTCCTGCGGTCAGAGGCGAATGGCCGAGTGCGAGTGGCCAAGGGCCGCTAGACACACTGGATTTCCGAGAACGTATCCAGAGCCAATCGTATCATGACATGCCTTAAAGCAGTCAGCATTCGGACAACTTGTTCGAGAAGCTTCGACGCATTCAGAACCTCGACCCCAGAGGTTGAGTGGCGCCTCTCAGTCAAACGAGAAGCCGGTGTCGCCGAGGAAGACGGGTATGTTCGTTTTCGAAGCCCCGCCACCAAAGGCGGATGGCCAAAGACTTTCGCGCCTCTCTGGGACCCCTGGTGTCCTCTGCCACTAGGAGCCATATGACCTTGGGACCCTTCACAAGGTACGGACTGTGCTTTGTGAGGGGCACCTGGGAGGCCATGTGGCCTTCCCTGCAAGAGCTGGGGTCACCCTGGGCCAGGGTCATATGCGACAATCCACCCATCAATTCCAGAAGTCTCCGGATATGCGCTCTGACTAGAATGCCAAGGGGAATCCAGTCGTGGCGACGAGAAGCCCCGCGGAGGCTCAGAAACGTTTGAAGACTTCGAATCTGGATCCTCGAACCTCCAACCTCCACCCCCAAGACAGTTAGCGACCGAAGGCGTCTGGCCACCGCGCCGCCGCCGCCCCCGATTGGGGTCAGCGGGCCTTGTGCATCCTCACCGTCGCCTTTATCGCAAAGAGGCGGGCGTTGCGTGTAGGGCCGCTGCCCGCCGTCGTCGTCGTCGTCGTCGTCGTCGTCGTCGTCGTCGTCGTCGTCGTCGTCGTCGTCGTCGTCGTCGTCGTCGTCGTCTTCGTCGTCGTCGTCGTGGTCGTCGGCGTCGGCGTCGGCGTCGTCGTCGTCGTCGTCGTCGTCGTCACTATCGTCGTCGTGGTCGTGGTCGCGGTCGTGGTCGTGGTCGTGGTTGTGGTCGTGGTCGTGGTCGTCGTGGTCGTGGTCGTGGTGGTCGTCGTCGTCGTCGTCGTCGTCGTCGTCATTGTCGTCGTCCTCCTCGGCCTCTTGTCGTCGTCGTCGTTGTTGTCGTCCTCGTCCTCGTCGTCCTCCTCCTCCTCCTCCTTCTCGTGCTCCTCCTCCTCCCCCAGCCGCCGCTCTGGCGCACGGTGCGCGAGGGGTGGCAGCGGCGCGGCAGTCCATGGAATTTTCCGCGGCTCCACGCGGGAGACGCGATGGCGCGGTCCGTGGGCCAATGGGCGTTGCGAGTACTGGCCAATGCACGCCGCTGGTCTACGTGGATTTCAATGGTGGACAGGGATTGTGCCGAGTGGCAAGGCAGTGAGGTTCAGTAGAGTCGACGGCTTCGGGGCCAGGTGGGGCACGTGAGCACCGACGAGGGGGTCATGGAGAGATTTTCAGGCATGTGGACGAGCGATAGCACGTGTTCTCAGTTAATTCTGGGTGCCAGAACGTGGGACACACTTTGAATAGTCATGCTGGACATAGCAGTTGAATTGATCTAATCTTTGTCCCAGATGGCATGATTGATATGATACATTAGTTTTTCTCGACTTCGCGGACTATGGTCTGACTTACAAGCTTTCCGAGGGGCACAGCCGAAATATCATCTTCCTAGCTACATGGGATTGCATGGCATGCAGTTCGCGGGCGATCACGAGTTTCCGTCGCCACAGCGGATGCGATGGAATCGTGATGGTCTGATGAGATGCTTGAAACAACGGTGAACGGAGAGTTGAGTTCTTAGAAGCGGTGGAGACACGTCTGTCGGAGAGTGAGGACACTTGGAGGGCGCTGTTGACTCACGGGCGGCCAGATGAGTTGTTCAAACATTTAGATGATCCAGCGTGCTGGCAGGAGGCAGCAGAACGATCCGTACTTCTACGGGAGCGAGCTCGACTTCGACGTTCCCGTATCGGCATGAGCGAGACTTCGGCGGCGTTTCGCGACTGTGAGGAAAAGCTGAGGATCTCAGCCAGCGACTACGACGACAGCGACAGCAGTTTCAACGAGAACGGCGGGCCGCCCTACTGGACGAGATCGAGGGTGCGTGGCAGGCCCGACGTATGGCGGAGGCGATGCGGCTTTCCAGGATAGCACTTCGGTGCAGGTGCGAACCCAAACGACGTGACGGGACATTGTTTCGGGGTGGTCTCTTCTCGAAGCTGGAGCTGCTGGAGCACTGGGGCCAGAAGGGTAGTCAGGGGGGGTGTTAGCATGCAAGGTCAATTTTGACGAATGGATGGGCACCGCCCCAGCAGGGGACCCCCCCCTACGCTCCTCTAGGTGTCTGCGAATGTGGCCCAGACAGATCAGTGGAGAGTGACGGACTATTTTTGGTTGGCGGGTAAGAGGAGAGTGGTGCCGTTAGGGGCCCCGCCCGCCGAGATCTGGTTGACGTGCCCCGACCCCGTCGCGAACGTCGATAGCCGGGTCGTGGGCGTATGTTGCCAGCGTGAGGTTCTTGAGGTGGAGCAGTTCGGGGAGATGCTCGAGGGGGGAATTCGCAAAATCCGTGCAACTAATCGCGCGCCGATGCGATGGCGCGTGAGTTCGTGGGCCCAGCTTCGAAACAGCGCCGCGCCAGGCCCAGTGGGCCGCCGAACGGTGCGCGTCTTGCCGACCTTTGGGGAAGCCATCGGGCTTCCTTCGAGTTCCTCCCGTGGCGTTCGGGCGCGGCTTCTGTCCAGGCAGGCGTAGAGACGATGCTATTTTAGTGGTGCAACTCTTGTGCTGGAGGTTGCGACGGGCTGGGCGCTCGTTTGCGTGCGCCTATAAGGACATGGCGGATGCGTTTGCGAGTGGGTCCCGGTCCGACCTGGAACAAACAGTTGAACTTTGCGCCGAACCCCAGGAGGTTGACGATCCCTGTATACAGCGTTTTCGAAACAGTGTGATCTGGTTGGGTACGGTGGAAGGAGGGGTGAATACCCAGACAGGGGAGGGTGGCACGATGGGGGGGTCCTACGTCGTGGAACTGTTCCGGGGCGCGTTTCCGAATCCCATTCTGCAATGGCTACGCTGGCCGAGGGAGTTTGACTTCTCTGCGGCGGGCCTTGTGGCCCGATAGAGCGAATTTCAGGCGGATGTCGGGTGTTGCCTGTGCGCTGGCGATCTTCTCCGCGTGCACGCTGCCCTCCCCGCGCTTCAGTTGGATTTTTTTCTTTGCGGTTCTGCAGCAGGTGGATGAGGTGTCGTCAGAGGGGTTGGAGGAGATAGGCCACGCCCAGAACGTCTCGAAGCAAGACGTTCCGCTGTGCTTCCAGGGGCCAGGGGCTTTGCAACGTCGACGGTGGGCACAAGGTCGTGGCCGAAATTTTCTGTCGGGGCAACTTCGGGAGGACGTGCGAAACCTGGGACCAAGCATTAACTTGCTGCAGTCGGCGACCGTTGAGGTCCGCCGACGAATTCAGATTATAACCGAGTCTTACTACGCCCTGGGGAAAATTTGGTATCTGGAGGTTCCGCTTCGTTGGGGGTGGACGTTTTTTTTTTTTTTTTTTTTTTTTTTTTTTTTTTTTTTTTTTTTTTTTTTTTTTTTTTTTTTTTTTTTTTTTTTTTTTTTTTTTTCTCATCAGCTTCGTGCGGGGCGCGGCGCTGACGGGATTAGAACCAATGCTGCTCGCGCCTAGCCATCATGGCGAACTCGACTCGCTCCTGACTCGGTATGGGGTGAAGGCGCTTCAGGGGAAAGCGGTGACGAAGGTGTGGGCTTGTGTTCGATCGTGGTCGAACAAGCCCGTGATGCAGCGTTGGCGCTAGCTCGGAGACAGGGGTGCTGGTCCGGCGTTTTGGTTGGCATCGCAGCTGGGCCTTATTCCCCTCCAATCATATCCAGGGGCTTTGTTTGATGTTCGGGTCCCTTGGGCTGGTCGAGGGGGGCGCGCCTTTGCCGTGTGGCAGGCGGCCTCTGGTTCTAAGTTGCAGTCGTCTCTGTGGCTCAGACAAGTGCAATATGATTTTCGCCGAGCGTCTGACCTGCTTGGCGACGGCGGAGTTTGCGCGCGCCTTGCTCGCTGTCCAGGCGACCTCGCGAATGGGGAACATAACGAGTTCTGGACAAGAGTTGACATTGGGGAGATCAGATCCCGCGAGCTGTCCGTCGTCATCCCCCTCGAACCTCGCAGCGCAGGATATCGCGGGGGACGCCGGGGCCTCATTGGAGCACCCCTGGCAAAGTGAGTGGATGGAGGAGGAAGGTGGTGCATGTAGGAGGACATTCCTAACGAGGAGGAATCTCATGATTCATGTGCGACGGAAGCGCCGAGTGCACATCCATGTTCGACAGTTGCGCCGGCTAGCACATGCATTGTATGTCGAGGGGTTTTCGCCAGCCAGTCAAGTGCCTACAAGCACCTCAGAGAGCATCAATGGAGCATGCCCGGCCCGAGGTTCGTCTGCCTTCATGGCAGCTAAACCTCCCTTCTTTTGTATGCGTTTCTGTGATTGTCACTCGAGTAGTTTGGGCAACCTTCGCAGCCATTTGGCTGCAGTCACCTTCCAGTGGAGATCGATCCCTCACTGCCAGAGGTGCATATCGGTGCATTTCTCGAGGGTGAGGCCGTGGCAGATGAGCGCGGAGGAGGCCGCGGACTTGCCGAGGCCGACGTGGACGAGGGGCCCATCGTCCGCCCCGCTCGCCAAGATGGGTCGCGGCGCCGCCAGAGATGAGGCCCGCGGGGCGGCAGGAGGCGCAAACGCGTTGAATGACCTGGCGCTGCTGCTCGCCAAGCTGGCGCCCGCGGACAGCCGCGCGCTGGCGGCCTCAGCAGCGCGGTCTACAGGGCGTGCGACGTCAGCGCGGACACCGACTTCGCGACGCCGCGCGAGCAGGCAGGCCAGGGCTGCAACGGCCAATCACAGCTGCTGAAGCAGAAACAGATGGACGGCGAGGTGGTCGACTACGCCTGCAGGGCCCCCCCGTTCGTGGCGACCTCCATGCAGGTGTTTCACTGGGCAGCCAAACTGGCCAACGAGCCCGACACCGAGCATGCGAAGTGGATGGCAGCAGCACGAGAACTCTGGGCGGGCAAGCTGGCCAATATGTCGATCCAGGAGGTTGGGGTGCTGGTGCTGCACTGGCAGTGGAAGAGGAACGAAGCCAAGCAGGAGGGCTACGCGAGGGGCCGCCTGATCTGCGCGATCGACTACACGAACGTGCTGGGCCCGACCCTGATCGGCATCGCGGAGGACATCCTGAAGAGCATGGGGGCCGAGAGGCGTGTCGGCCCAGCCCCGCGGGGCCCGCTGGAGCGGGGCGCAGCAGAGCTTCTGGCGGAGCTCAGAGGCAAGCGCGTGAACCAGGGGGGGCTAGCGCCGCGGCCTCAGAACAAGTAGCAGGTAGCAGCGGCAGCAGCAGCATGTCTCAGACTTAGTCGAACTCGTTTCGCCGTGAGCCCTCTTCGGGGGAGTTCGAGGTTGGCGGAGCTCATTCGGCGAGGTTCAATTTCTCCTGAAGTTTTGGAGCGTCGGCCCCATCCCGCCCCCGCGGCCTACGTCCCAGGAGTTTCCACCGCTCCGGCGGCGCAGAGGGCGGGGGGGTCTTCGAGGCAGAAAGGCACGGGGAAGGGAAAACAAGGGAGAGGTCGGTAGCAACCCGAGGTCCCTAAGGTGGGCCCCTCGTGAGCTGCAGGGGGTGCTCGCTGGGGCGGTGCGGCGTCCGTCGCGAGCCGCGGGCCGCGCTTTCAAGGTTTGGCGAGCGATTCGCCCCCCAGGGTTCCCCCTGCGCGTTGGGGCCAGGTAGTTGATCGCAGGCGCCAGGCAGACGTCGGAGTTGAGCTCCGGCGGGCCCGATCCCGTTCTCGACCCCCCTCCGTATCCTCCTCTTTCGCCTGCCCCTCCTGCGAGGATCTCTCCAGATTGAGAAGGGGGGGGGATTGGGGGGGGCGCGTGCGTGGAGGTGTGGGGTCCCTGACCGCAGCTGCGCGACTGAGTGCGGTGATACTCTGAAGCGAGCGATGCGGGGGGGTGGCCAGGGACCGGGGGGGTCGAGGACCACGGCGGGGAGTTGCGGCGTTTGAGCGTTCAGAGGGTCTGGGACTACTGACAGATCCTTCCGCTGGCCAGCGAAGTCTCGACTCCGTCGTCTCCGATGGTGCCAATCCTGGATTCGATTCCCAAGTGCTTATATACAAGTACGAGCGAGTATCCTAGTCAGCCTAAATGAGATCCTTATCATGAACGAGGATTGGGCTGTCCCTTCCAAGGCCAACCCATGTTCCTGCCAGGTGCTTGAGGACCTCCAGTTAGCTCGCGCCCTGTCGGATGAGTTCGCCGATCTGATTCCCGAGGTCTCCCCCGTCCCGGGTTTGTTCGACGCGAGCGAGTGCGGCGAATGTGCGATGATCGACCTTGCGGTTGCCAGGGCGAGGAACTTCTCTGAGCTATTGCGCCGCCGACGGGGCCGCAGTGGCTCCAGCTATTCAGGGAGCGGAGGAAGCAGAGGAACAAAAACACAATCCACGAGTTCCAGATGCGGTCTGCAAGATTCGGACGGAACCATTTGCGGCGGCCCTCACGATCATGAGTCCCCTTTTGTGGCGTGCAGGCAGAGTTCGCAAGGTGCGAAGCGACGCCGATCTTCTCACAGTCACCGACCAGTGTTTCAGATGCCTCGAGGCTTTCAGAACCCGGGGCACCGCGCAGCGACATTTGATGCGATTTCACGCCTGCAACCGATGTGCGATAGGCCGAAGGATTTCCGCGGCATGGCAGGTCGGTCAGACTTTCTCACTGGATGCCCAGTATGTACTTTGCCGCTCAAGAGCTACTGTCACTGCAACTTCACATGCGTTCCCATTGTGCACTGGGAGATCCTTCTCGTTCGCGACCTTGCGCTCGTCTTCGCGATGGAGGGCGGCGAGGGGCCCGTTGACCTGCGCGAGCTGATCGAAGAGCTCGAGGCGCAGGGCGAGGCGGCAGAAGGCGCGGCCGCGCCAACCCCGCCAAAGGGCTCAACGTTGCGAGAGATGCTGCGACGAGGGGCGCGCGCGGCTGCGATCTCGGGCGACGCGTCGGCCCCTCCTCGGAACGCGTGCCAGGCTTAGCCGACGGGGCTCGCGCTGAGCGTACTCGAGATGGAGCTGGTCGTCATTCAGCTGTGCTGCGTCGCGGGTGGCAAGCTCAAGCTGAGGGCGCTCAGGGGGTACTTGGAGACGCCGGCGCAGAGACTAGTCGGCAAAACCAAGGCGGGTAACGCCATCGGAGGCAAGGGCAGCAGGCAGAAGTAGACGAGACCCGAGTCCTGGGAGGCCAGGCGTGCAGCCTTGTGTGTCAACGCATTCCAGCGCGGGGGAGCACTAGGCTCCGACATGATGCAACATTTTAGCTGGGCGGGTTCTTCATTGCAAATGTCTTCGCCTACCCAGCGACCTTGGGTGTGTTGAGTTGCGCCGGATTGCTGGTTGCGGCGCCCTCGGCGCCCGACTGTGGCTAGGGCAGTTTCTCGACGCCCCTCGACCAGCTCGGCTATGCGGGCGTTCATTTTGGCAGAGACATCAGCTGTAACTTGCTCGCTTCCATGTGCGAATTTAAGGAGGTCAGGCTCGCCGAGTTCTTTTTTCAAAGTCACGCTCTCGCTGGTGGTGAAGGCCGCTGGCTTGCTGTTTCGTCTACCGATGCGTTTGCCATCGTGCCGTCAGTGGGGACTGGGGTCTCTAAGAGGTGAGCGTTGGATACCAGTCCGTGTTAGAGTTGCGCATGCCTAGCAATGGCGATCGGCTAGTGCTGCGAATGCCTGTCGGTGTCGATCTGTTTGAGTTTGGCTGGGATCTGACTGCGGCTGCATCTCGAACGTCGGTGACGCGCGCCGCCTCAGAGAAGGCTGAGGTCAGAGTGCATGCTCGTTGCGTGGTGCGTGGCTTGTGCTTCGGAAATCAGCTGGATAGGAGTTGCCAGCGGCTTTCCAATGGCAGGTGTTCTGGCCTGGCATGTCTGTGTGCTGGTTTTCCTTTGTGCTGGCGCGGGCGCCTGCCGACGCGATGGGCGCTTGCGCGGCGGGCGATCCTGATCAGTCGGGGGCGGTTGGGTTATCGGATTTGCTGGCGAGCGGGATCGGTCCGATTATCGAGTCCTCGTCTATTTGGGAAATGGAATTTTAGCCGCCCTCTTCACCTGGCCGCCTTGCTACGTGCGGCCTCCGCTCCTGAGCCAGCTGATGCTCGCTTCGCTCGACTTCGAGGCTCCGTCTTGCGCCCGCTCTCTCCTTTCCCCTCGTCGTTGCGTGGCTCGTCTGTCTGCCCGACTCCCAGCTCGAGTGCCGCTTTGCCGCCGAGACCGAGGCTCGCGGCCCCGCCGCCCCCCCCACCTCCCTAGGCAGCGCCCTGCCGCCGCGGCTCCTCCCCTCTCTCAGTCTAGCAGGCCGAACCCTTGATTTCAGGAGGCCGCGCGCCCCTCCGATGCGCCTTGCTTTGGCCCCGCCCTCTAGCCTTGTTGCCTCCCTTCCGCGTCGTGCCCGTGTCGTCCTTCGTCGTTCTGCTTGGGTGCAGGTTCCTCAGCGGGCCGGGGCGGTTGCTTCGGTGGCCCGCCCGTCGCCCGCAGCGACGCGGGCTCGGTTCCGAGGGGCCAGTGGGGCTCCCTCCCCAGCCCCCAAGGGGTTTTGACGATTTGCAATTGCCTGGGTGCGCACACGTACGTCAGGTTGCACGGCGCGCTCTACTCACGACCTCATCGCGCTCGCTTGATGATTGTTCGGGGTAGGGCTGTGTTTGCACGTTTGCACGCGCGAGAAGGGTACGGCACATGCCACGCACAAGGCCGAGTCTTCTTCTTCTTCTTCTTCTCCTTCTTCTTCTTCCTCTTCTTATTCCTCTTCCTCTTTCATTTGCTACGGGCCTTCGGGGGTCCCCTTCGGTCGCGTGGGCTGGGCGTGGCTCGGAAGGCGGGAGCGGACTCGGACGTTGCGGCCCGCCCCCCATCCTCGTCTTCGCCTTTCCTGCTCGCTTTCCTCGCCCACGTTCTCGTCTTCTATCTCTTCCTCGTCATCTTCCTCGTCCTCGCCCTCTTCCTCGTGCTCCCTCGCCCTCGTCCTCGTCTAGTCATCGTCGTTGTCACCGGACGAAACGGAGGATGGCAGGAATGTGCATGAGAAACAAGGAGGCGGATGAGGACGATGATGATGATGATGATGAGGAGGAGGAGGGGGACAAGGAGGAGGAGGATGAGGATGAGGATGGGGAGGGGGATGATGATGATGATGATGATGATGATGATGATGAGGATGAGGATGAGGATGAGGATGATGATGATGATGATGATGATGATGATGATGATGGTGATGATGATGATGATGATGAAGAAGAAGAATAATAAGAAAACGAAGAAGAACAATAATAATAACACGAATAATACTAATAAGAAGAAGAATAATAATAAACAGAATAATAAGAATAATACTACTACTAATAATAAGAAGAAGACGAATATTAATAATAAGAAGAACAATACGAATAATAATAATACTAATACTAATAATAATAATAATACTAATCATAATACTACTAATAATAATAAGAATAATAATAAGAATAATAGTAAGAATAATAGTAATAATAATAATACTAATATTAATAAGATGAATAATAATAATACTACTAATACTAATAATATTAATAATAATAATAACAATACTACTTATACTATTAATAATCATAACAATAATAGTAGTAATAGTAGTAATAATAATAATAATAAAAATAATAATAATAATAATAATAAAAATAATAATAATAATAACAATACTACTAATAATACTAATACTAATAATATAATAATAATAATATAATAATAATAATATACTAATAATAATATACAATAATAATAATAATAATAATAATAATAATAATAATAATAATAATAATAATAATAAAAAATAATAATAATAATAAAAATAATAAGAAGAAGAGGAGGGGGAGAGGAGGAGGAGGAGGAGGAGGAGGAGGAGGAGGAGGAGGAGGAGGGAGGAGCACACGGATACTATACCCTGGTGATGGTGATGCGGATTTTGCTGGCGATACTATGATGATGGTAATGCTGATAGTGCTGATGATGTTGATGATTGTCGTGATTTCATGTGTTTCCGTCGCGCCTCTGATCCGCCGCTGTTTGGGTCGCTCAAGTCTTGAGTATGTGGGGCAAGCTCCTGGATCACGCCGTCAGCGGAACAGTCTCGTACTTCACCCGCTGCCCTGCCGTGCCATCGTGCCCTCCTTGCCCTGTGTGCTCCCAGGCGTGCGGGCAACCAGCAAGCTGCCCATCCTGTTCGCTGGTGTGTCCCGCGGCGCCTGCGTGCCCAGAGTCCCCGGCGCCAGCCTGCCCCTCGCCCGCACCCTGCCCAGCGGCAGTGTGCCTAGCCTGTACCCCTTGCGCGGCCGCGGCTTCCGCGGCCACGAGCGAGGCGGCCGCGTCGGCCCCGTCGGCTGGTGGCGAGGCCCAGGGCGCGGCGGCCACTCTCGGCGACGTCGGCCGCGACGCCCGGGCCTTCTGCCTGGGGCTGCTGGGCGGCACGCTCGGCTGCTTTCTGGCGGCGGCTTGCCTGGGGTGCCTGAGCGCTGCATTGAGACGGGACGCTCGGCCGAGGCGCGAGGCGGTGACCTACGATGGCGGCGCTGGCAGCGACGACACTGTGGGTGTACGTCTTCTACGCCGGAGAGGCGGTCTGGCACCAGCACTTGAATCTGGGGCTGGTGGCGTTCTCGGAAGGTGACCATGTCATCGATACAGCCGACGGCGACCCGTACATAGTGACGGTGTCGGACTGCCCGGATGTGCGGGCGGCCAGGTTCGGCAGCTACGAGTCCCCGCCGCCGGGGATCGACCCGCAGCAGGTGTACCGGTTCGGAGCAGGGCCGACGGACGCGGGGGTGGCGCAGCTCACCGCCGAGGCAGAGCAGGTGGCACCCGCCGAGTGCCGGATGCCCGCGCCGGCGGTCGGCAACCCAGAGCTGCTAGTGAACCTGCGGCCCCTGGTCCCGCCGGGCGGCCGCGGGCAGCGGGAGGAGCTCGGTATCGAGGGGCACCACAAGCGCTTCCGCCAGGTGTGCAAGCTGGGCGTTAGCGACTGGGGCAGTCAGGAGCACGTCCAGCCCTCTCAGCAGATCAAGAGGGCGACGTACCGGGACCAGGTGGATGGCACCAACTCGTTCAGCGTTGAGATGAAGTTCCGGAGGCTCCAGACTACTGAGGCTGCGCACTGGGACAAGGCCAAGGACGCCGAGAGCAAAGGGGCTGGCGGCAAGATGAGCCGTGAGGATCAGGCCGCCTTCTCTGGGCTGTCACGCGCGACCTCCACGGTCGTGGTGGCCCCCGACCTCATCGAGTACGTCCGCGCCGATGTTGAGAAGGAGGCAACGTTGCACAAGAGTCTGCGCCTGGCCCGCGAGGAGCGGGAATCCAGGCGCAAACATGGTTGAAGTCTGGTCCCGCGCTGCCGTCGGAGGGGGCGACAGCGCGTGTATGCAACCCCTCCGTACTGAGCGAGGTCATGGGCCTGCTCCTACTCAAGACGTCCGCGGTGAACGGCGACGTCGTGCACGTGATATCTTTCCTCTGCCGTACCCGAAGGATCGCGAGGTCTTTGATCGGGACGTGGGCCGTGGGTTATTTCGTGGATTGCGACAGCGGCTGGGTAAGCGTCTCAGTGTGCATCATGATGTCCTGACTGCTGTGGACTGCCTCAATTGGCTTCTCGATCCATCCGTTCGCTGTGGTCGTGACCGACATGCAAGCTATGTGGGACCGTCGCTCGCTCAGTGCCAGTGCTTGAACCGCATCGAGGCCTCGGTGCAGGAACTTGGTCCTCCGCCTGCCTCGCTTTCTCCCGCAGGAGCGCTTTTGCAGCTTCGCGTGGCCGGGGGCGCCTACGCAGTCGAGCAGTCGTCCCTCGGGAGCTACGACCCCGCGCTCCTCTCCTTGCCTGACGTCAGCGCGGCTCCCGTCCCGCTGGCGGATGTGCGGGGGGAGGGCGGGCTATCCAACGTTGAACTCTTTGTTCAGCAGGGCCTGCTCAGTCCGAGCGAGGCGGCAGCCCGTCTCCGTCAGAGTTCTGTGCCTGTTCCCTACTCCGACCCCAAGCTTCGCGACCAGAACTGCTGGTCCAGTTTTGTCCAGCTTTTGTATGGGCGCCACCTCATCGAGTACGCGCTTGAGGATGGCATACGAGCAGACATCTTTTTCGTCAAGAAGAAGGGCGGCCGCCTCCGCATGGTTGCGGACTGCCGCAGGTCCAACGAGATCTTCGTGGAGCCCGACGGCGTCAGGCTCGCCGCGGGGGACGCGTTCGGTTGCCTTGAGATGCTCGACGACGACAGCGAGCTCACCATCGAGGGCGCGGACCTGAAGGACGCATTCTAGCACTTGGAGTTGCCGGAGGAGCTCCGCTATGCTTTTACGTTGAGGCCTGTCTGGGCCGGGGTGATGGGCGTCTCCGTGGTCGGCACCAAGAAGGTCAAGGCCTCCGCCCTCCTGTGCCCGAGGCTCCGCGTTGTTCCCATGGGCTGGTCGTGGGCGACGTGGTGGTGCCAGTCGCTCATGGAGAGGGTGGCCGACGCGAGCGGCTGTGGTGATGCCTCTCGCCTTCGAGATGGCCGCCCAGCCCCGCCACTCAGCCCAGCCTGCCATCTCGAGTACGTGGACAACCACGTCAGCATCGGCTACGACGCGGACGCTGTGCGCACCAACGTCACGGGGATGATGCAGGAGCTCGAGCGGCGTGGACTCGTGGTCGCGAGGGAAGTTCACCTTGGCGAGGTGGAGGGCGAGTTCTCCGTCCTCGGGTGGGCCCTCTCGTCCACGGGCCGCTTTTCGTCATCGGCGTCCCGTCTCTGGCGCACGAGGCTTGCTGTGCGGGCCTCGGTCCGGAGGGGCCGATGCTCGGGGCGGGGCCTGGAGCGGGTCATCGGGCACGTGGTTTTCATCGCGCTGGCCCGGCGCGAGGGCCTCAGCATCTTCGAGTCGTGCTTCAGGTTCATCCAGGAGTGCTACAACCGTGAGGTGCCGCTCTGGAGCCAGGTTAGGCAGGAACTGCTGGCCTGGGATGGCGTTGCCCCTCTGTTGTGGCGTGACCTCCGCGCGCCGTGGTCGCCTTCTGTTAGCTGCGTGGATGCCCCCCCCTGGGGGTTGGGCGCCTGCGAAGCCGTCTGGGAGGTGGACGCGGTGCGGGAGGTGGGTCGCCATAGCGAGAGGTAGCGCTATGGCCGGGCCGAGCGCTTGCCTCCACGTCGGCGGGCACGCGCGGCCGAGCTCGCGGCAGAGGGGGCTGCTGGCGCGGCCGAGGGCCTGCACGCCCGCCTGGGCGCCCAGCTTCCGTCGGGATCCAGCGGGCAGCCGCTGGGCCCGCCGCTTGAGCGCGATCTCAGCCAGTTTCCCGAAGTTCCCCGGCGGGTGCTGGAAAAGAGTAAGTGGCAGGTCACGGGCAGGAGGAAGTGGGATCGTCTCGAGGGTGTGCCTGTCCTGGAGGCGCGGGCTGTTCTGTATCGTGTTCGCCGCGCTCTCCGAGCTGTCCGCAACCGCGGGAAGCGTCTCCTCGTCTTTGGCGACTCGCTGTCTTCGGTTTCGGCTACTGCTAGGATGAGGGCCCACAGTCGCACCATGCTCAGTATCGTGCGCAAGATCGGGGCCCTCTCTTTGGCTTCAGGGAGTTCTTTCTGTATTCGTTGGGTTCCTTCGGAGTGCAACGTCGCGGATGGCCCCTCGAAAGGCCGCGGGGGCCCCAGTGGCCCCTCGTCCGTCGTCCTCAAGGAGTCCCCCATGGAGACCTCCCTCGCCCGGGGCCAGTGCCAGGAGCCCGTCTGCGACCTAGGTGAGCAGGGGCGTCGTCAGCAACATAGTATGCAACATCATGTACCTTCACATCAGCATTCACATCATCGGCGAGCTGGTGCAAGCAAGCCCCGGTCCCTGGAGTTGGTTCATATGTCGGACACCCCGGGCCTGGGCCGCAACCTGGGCCCCGGCGAGCCCCACCTCGAGCCCGAGCCGTCCGTCAGCCTTCCCGGCTCGAGGGTGCTTCATCTTCTTCCATATGTTGCGTGTTCCATTTCCGTGTATCATCTTCCTGCAGATGGGGGCTCGCGGGCCCCCGGCAGCCGGGGGTCTGCTGAAGGGGCGGCGCCTGAAGCGTCCGGCGGCGTGGGCCCTGGATGGGGCGAGCCTGCCTACGTTGGCCCGCCAGCGTGGGCCAGCCAGCCCTCCGCCGGCGCCGTTGCCGGCACTTCGCGCTCAGACGCCAGTGGCTGGGCCCGCGGCGGCCCCCCTCGCGCCGAGCCAGCGGGCGCGCCTCATCGAGCTGCCTGCTGGGATACCCGCCCTGAACGCGGCCTCGGTCCGCGCTCGGGCTGGCCGCCAGGCCTTCGCCGACATGCTCAACGGGTTCCACCGGTGGGTCAAGCAGCAGAGGAGGGAAGTCTCCTCTCCAGCGTCGCTCGACGGCGCCGTCCGCGACTACCTTCCCAAGATGTTCGAGGAGGGGCGGCACCAGACCTACGCCAACCGCATGATCGCGGCGGTGGCGTGGCGCGACCCCCGCTTCAACAAGAACGGGCCGTTCGACCTGCCGCTCGCGAAGCAGGCCTCGAAGGGGTGGCGCAACCTCGCCCCCCCAGGACCCGCATGGCGCTGCCGTTCGAGATCGTGGCGATGGTGATCAACTACCTGCACTACCGCGGCCAGCCGCAGATCGCCATCGCGATCTGGCTCCTCTTCGAGATCTACGGCCGCCCGGGAGTGATCCACGGGCTGCGACTCCAGGATTTCGCGCCGCCAGCTCCTGGGTCGTCGGCAGCTCGCAGGTTCCCCGCCGTGACGCTTTACGCGCAGGAGGTCGGCGAGGTGTCCAAGACTGGGGAGTTCGACTCAGCTGTGCGGCTGGATCTTCCCCGGCAGCGGGGGCTGGGCGCGGCGCTCCAGGCGTTGGTCAGCGCTCGGCGCCAGGGGGGCGCCGCGGCGAACGCCTCCCTCTTTTCCGTCGCTCAGGCGGAGGTCTCGCGCGCCTGGCGCGGGGCCATCCAGGCGCTCAGGCTCGACGCCATCGGCGCCTGCCACGTGTGCCAGCTCCGCCACTCAGGGCCCAGCCGCGACTACGCCGCCAACCTCCGCGACCTCGAGCAGATCCGCCGCCGAGGCCGCTGGAAGTCGTGGAGCTCTGTGCGGAGGTACGAGAAAGGCGGGCGGCTCACCGAGCAGATCCACAAGTTGCCCGCCGCACAGCGGCGGCGCGCCGTGGCCTGCTGCCTCGCCCTGACCGCGTGCACGCGCGGCCTGCCCTCAGCATTGGCTCCAGTATGCCCGACCCGGCGGTGATCCTGGGCCTGTTCTGTGGCGAGGGCGGCTTCGGTCGGGCGGCCGCCGACTTGGGTATGCCTGTACTGCTGTGGGACACTTCCCTCAGTGAGCAGTACGATCTCTCGAAGGCTGGCAACACATCCCTGATCTTGACGTGGGCGCGTGCCGGGCGTGTAAGAGGCTGGCGCACTGGCATTCCTTGCAATGCCCTGACGCGCTGCCGTGATCACGGGGTTGGAGCCCCTCCTGTCCGTTCTGATACTCACCTCCTCGGCCTCCCCTCCCTCAAACCACACCTCCAAGCCATCGTTGAGGTCTCGAGTTCGCTGAATAGTTTTGTGGCCGCTCGTGCCTGCCTGTCCATGGTGATGCGTATTCCGAGGAGTGTTGAGAACTCCAAGACCTCTCGGCTGTGGCTTCTTCCAAGGTTCAGAGCGCTCCTCAGGCGTAAATCGGTGATTTTCCTCATTACCTCCATGTGCCAGTGGGGGGGCCCGTGGAAAAAAGACACAGGGATCATGATGTCTGATCGTGAGCCCGGCAGCTTGAGAGACTCTGGATGCTGTGGCTCGCGTGGAGGTATTTGTTCGCGGACGGGCCGTCCCCGCGTCCAACTCCAGGGCTTTTTGCCCGGGGGCGGGTTTCAGACAAAAAAGGGGGCTGTCTATCCGCGTAAGTTCTGTCTCGCGCTGGCCAGGTGTTTCCACGGCGCTGAGGTCAGTGCCTCAGCTCACGTGATCCAGCAATCCTTGTCTAAATAGTATGCCTTTTAACTTTTCGGCGTGGCCAGCTTGCTGCTGCATATTTGGCGCATATTCGGCAGTCTGTATGTGTATGCTCGTGCTGCTCGCATCTTTGTGCTTTAGCTCTGGTGGTGCGGTGCCGCACCTCGAAGGCTGGACTGTTACGCTGCTCAGTCTCTTGCAATTGCTGGCAGTAAAAAAAGGCGCATAGGATTGTCGTGATATCACGTGTTTCCGTCGCGCCCCTGATCCGCCGCTGTTTGGGTCGCTCAAGTCTTCCTCCTCCTCCTCTCCTCCACCCTCTTTCAGGCAGCGCGGTTGCCGCAGGCAGTCTGTATGTGTATGCTCGTGCTGCTCGCATCTTTGTGCTTGAGCTCTGGTGGTGCGGTGCCGCACCTCGAGGGCTGGACTGTTACGCTGCTCAGTCTCTTGCAATTGCTGGCAGAAAAAAGGCGCATAGGATGATGATGCTGCTGCTGATGATGCGGATGCTGATGCTGATGCTGATGCTGCTGATGATGAGGCGGATGGTGGTGGTGATGATGCTGAGGAGGATGATTGAGATGATGCTGATGATGATGATGGTGATGATGATGATAGTGACGCTGTTGATGATGATGCTGCTGCTGATGATGATGCTGCTGCTGAGGTTGCTCATGCTGATGCTGATGGTGGTGATTGTGATGATGGTTGTGGTGATGATGAGGATGATGCGGATGATTGTGATGGTGATGCGGATGACGATGATGATGATGCTGCTGCTGACGATGATGACGATGACGCTGTTGACGCTGATGATTACGATGCTACTCATGATGTTGATGATGCTGCTGGTGAAGGTTATGGTTATGATGATGCTGATAATGACGATGCTGATGATGATGATGCTCATGCTGATGCTGCTAATGCTGATGCTGCTCACGATGATGCAGATTCTGATGATGCTGATGCTGATGATGATGATGATGACGATGCGGGTGATGCGGCTGATGATGATGCTGATGGTGACGACGATGCTGATGATGATGATGATGATGATGATGATGATGATGTGGTTGCTGATGATGACGATGCTGCTGCTGATGATGATGAGGATGTTGGTGATGCTGATGATGCTGATGATGCTGAAGGTGATGCTGCTGATGATGTTGATGTTGATGGTGATCAGGATGACGATGATGATGATGGTGATGATGGTGATGATAATGATGATCATGCTGCCGACGATGATGCTGATGCTGTTGATGATGATGCGAGTGATACTGATGCTGATGACGATGATGATGCTGATGCTGATGATAATGCTGATTCTGATGATGATGAAACTGA